CCTTGCTGCTGCTGAGCAACTTGTTATACACTCAGCACTCACCGGAATGTATATCCTACGCCAGTTTGCCAAAGTTCCTGTCTTACAAGAAGTTGCTCCCTCGGCTTTCCTGGGGACACACACATGCTTACACTGCCCCTGTCATCTTTCTCAGCAATGCTTATGAGTCTATGGACGGAATGCAATCTACTTCAATTTGATTGTATTCTAGTGTCTCTGGTTTACTGTAGCAATTGCTGAGCCACTCCATTTGGTCAACCCCAGACGCTGGTCCACATCCATTGATTCACACTCTCAGTCTCCGGAAAGTGATCATCACCTTTCACTTCTACAGCATGTAAACACATTCTTATGAGTGCATATTAGCTCTCCGCAGTGATCAGTACTGATCATCTTTTTAGATAGATGCATTATAGTTAGTAAGTCCTGCCAGGTTACTAAGCTCTTTGCAATGGCTTTGAACTTTCTTCCTTCCGTTCTTTCCTAATAAAATCTGTGTCATCCTGCATCCAATGTTTCTATGTTCGTGTGGTTTTTCATGTGTGTGTGTGTGTGTGTGTGTGTTATTACAGCACTTCCTTTATGAAGTCCTTCTTGAAGTTTTACTCTATGTATACACTTAGGTAGATATGACGCCCAAAGTAAATTGAAGCTTCAATATATTTATTATCTCATTCAGTTACCACAATTGTCCCACAAATCAGGCAGAGCCAGGATTATCATTCCATTTTCATTCTCACTTAGAGAGCAGGAAATGCTTGACCATACAGCAAATAATTGACAGAAGCAGGTCCTTTGATTTCAGGTCAAGGACATTTTTAGTTACATCTTTCTAAAAATAGAAATAATCCTGGTGATGGGGCATAAGGGAGGCATACATTGTGAGTTGTTTCCATAGCAAAGGAAATAATTATAAATTTCCTATAGAGAACCATTTCAGTCTACAAACCTCTTCCTAAACATTGTTCTCAGCTTTATGACCAATATGCCTTTAAGAGTTCTGGTTAATGAAAAGGGGCTTTGCAACTTCTCTGACATGAGATTCATTAGCACATATAGTGTTCCTGGCCCTATTCTTGCCGAGGGGAACCTGTTCTTTGTTGTCATGGATTGGCGTACTGGTATCATTGCTTTTATCTCTTTTTTTTTTAAGAGTTATATTTATTTATTCATTCATTCATTATTTATTTATTTATTTATTTATTTATTTATTTATTTGAGAGAGAGCATGAGTGGGAAAGGCAGAGGGAGGTGGAGATAGAATCTCAAACAGACTCCCCCCATGAGCGTAGAGCCTGACCCAGGGCTCAGTCTGACAAGCCTGAGATCATGATCTGAGGCAAAACCAAGAGTGGATGCTTCTCTGAATGCGCCACCCAAGTGCCCCTCATTTCATTCATCTTAAAGAAATTGGTATGAAGAATCACCCTTGCAAGCACACAAGCTCAGGCCACAATTCCAAGGCTCTCAAACTTTGAGGCAATTTGATGTCCTGACCTGGACATTGTTCAGAGAAGAGAAGTTTGTAGAGTCCTGATAGTTGAGGTACCCATGCAGCAGGCATAGGCTGCTTTGATCCAATCACAGTCTTTAGGCGGTAAACAAAGAGAGAACGATTTCCTGTGTTCTTTTCTTGTAAGATTTTCTTTCTTTCTTCGTGAGAGACACCGGGAGAGAGGCTGAAACATAGGCAGAGGGAGAACAGGCTCCCTGTTGGGGGGTGGATGTGGGACTCCATTCCAGGACCCCAGGATCACCACCTGAGCTGAAGGCAGATGCTCAACCACTGAGCCACCAGGCTTCCCCAACTTCCTGTGTTCTGTGAGATAAAGACACATAGGCTAGAGGAAATTCACATCCGAATTTTCAAGAAAAGGAGGATAAAGGAGAATGAAAACAAAAACGGAGCAGAAAGGATGCACTCTTCCAAATCAAGACAGATGTTAGTTAGGTTGCCTCCCCAAAGGAGGAAACCTGGATCTTTGGGTGAAGAGCTGAATAACAAAGACAACTCTGAAGGCACCCAGCAGGACAAGGATTAGGAAGGCTCTGGGCAGAAAATAAAATAAGAGGTTTTGATCACGGCCACCTTCTCAAGAGATATAAAAATGCTTTGGAATAGTGAACACACTACATGTGACGGGGAGTATCGTCTTCCTAGAGGACGTATGTGGAATTCTCTGCCAGAGTACTTAAGTTCACAAGGCAGAGAACTTATGGGAAGAATTCCTGACATTTCCTGAGGACCTGCCACACGCTGGGCACTCAGAGAGATGCTTTACCTGCACACTCTTTATTTGTCATACAATCCTGGAAAGTGAGCATCACTACTTCCATATTGTGGAGCTGAGGAAACCAGTGTGGAGGAAAGTAGCTTGTTCAAAATTGCATGTGCACTGAAACTCCATCTTGTTTTCAAAAACAGCTGTTTGGTGGGCTACACGTGAAATGATGAACACAGAAATCAGTGCAACAAAACCGAGAGTCCACAAATAGACACACGTTTCTTAGGCATTGAATTTTGCAGAAAGGTGCCAATTCTATAGGCAGAGAAAGTGTAGTCTTTTAAACAAATGGTGTTGGAACAATTAAACAGACATGCCCCCCCCACTCCTCAAAATAAACTTCAACCCATACTTCATATCATATACAACATCCGACGCAAATAGATTATAGCCCCAAATGTAAAGCCCAAAACTACAAAACTTCCAGACAGAAATCTAGGGAAACGTTCTATAGAGCTCCTAGCTTCCACCGCCACCCCATAATGGGGCCTACTTCTGTTTGGGCCAACTTCGGAGGATGCCGCTAGCTTGCATTATCCGTTTTCTGTACTACTCCCTTCAATAACTGTGCAAGTCTTCATCTCCAATTTTATCTTCAATCACTAGGTTCTCTATCGTAGACGACGATAGATCTTGGTTATGAGAATTGGAATCGTTTAGAAGACTATTTAAATTCCTGTTCTGCTACTCACCAGCTACATGTGTTGGGCAAAATATAAGCTGTATTTATGCTCCTTCATAAAACTTTCTCCTACATTTTGTGTCATCCGCCTTTTTTTTTCCATACACACACACACACAGAGAGAGAGAGACAGAGAGAGAGAGGGAGAAAGCGAGCATTGCAGGGGTGTGGGACAGAGAATGAAGGAGGGGCCGAGCGGACTCCCACTGAGCTCCCACTGAGAGAGCCTGATGCGAGCCTCAGCCCCAGGACCCAGAGATCATGACCTGAGCCAAAGTCAGACTCTGAACAAACTGAGCCACACACGTGGCCCAGGGACATTTCCTCTTGTGTGGACCCAACACCGGACTCTCTCAACCCCTCTCTCTTTGTCTCCCTTTTCTCTCCCCACAGAAACGGCCCCCCTCCCCTCCGTGGCACAACAGTTTTCCTCTCCCCCAATTCACTTAAACACCCCTCATACCTGCAGGGCCATGTCCCCCCAACCACACAGATCCTTCTTCCAACCTTCCTATCAATTTCCTGGGTGTTCCAAGTGACCTGAGCTCAATAGAACTGTGATGCAGGGATCAGGAAAGCCCATGGCCACCTCCTTCTCTGCCACTTAACTCCTCCCTCCTAATCCTTGAAGGAATTCTTAAAGTACATCCTAAGGTTCCCATGGTAGAAGTGAGGAAATCGGGACAGAGATAGGTAATGTCAGAGTTTGGTTTTTCCCAGAAGCTACTCTGAAGAACAGCATTCAGGCATGTGGTTTCTTGCGGGAGGGAGGGCAGATCCCACTGGTTGGAAGGTGGGGAAGTGATACAGGATGGAGGCCAGCGTCACAGTTTTCAACTGGCTCAATCCTGAGAAATAGATCAGAAAAGAATAGAAACAGCCATGTCAGGATTCTCCTCTTTCAGGAGCAAGGACAGCCCTGCAGTCACATACACCAACTCTCCAGAAGCATTGGTTGAGCGCTTCTGTCAGTGCGGCACACACCCAGGCAACATGACATCCTGCTGTTGCATGAAAACAGCCCGCCCCGAGGCATAGAGATGCAGATCTGCTGCTGTGTAGAAATTGTCCTGAACACAGGAAGATCTGATCTCTATGCCCGGCATGTGTAAGGCATCATCTACAGTCTACGATTTTCTCCACTCGGACCCCACATTTTCTCCTTCACGATGGCAGGCAGGCACAATTTGTGTAAAAGGAAGACAGAGGAGAAAGAAGAGGGAAAAGAGGAGGAGAAGGGATGGCACGGTGGGACGCAGGAAGAGAAAACAGTAACTGTGGAGTCAGTGCGACTAAATATCTCACTCTGCTGGTTAACAAGGTTAGGGCTAGGGTCACCGACTCATCCCAAACTGCCCCGCTTATACCACTGACAGGCCCACGGCCTGGGAAAACACTCATTTCTGGGTAAATGAGAGCAGGACTGCTGGTCACTCAGGAAGTATGTTCATGGATGCTTGTTGAGTCCTGTTTCTATCCACCTGCTCGATTCGGCCTTGACATATGGAAGACATGATGCCAGACGTCCTCCACCCAAGTGTCTTTGATTGCACTGCCCTATGCAAACGGGGTAGGGTGCTCCCAGAGACAGATGCCTGCGGGCCTCTGGAATGAGGCACTTTGGGGAAACAGACTCGGGCTCCAGCATGATTGCAATTCATCACTATGAACATATCAACATCAAGCTCCCTTCACCTCAGGGATACTCCCAGTCTGCATGCAACCCAAGTACCAGTGCTGGGCAAGGAGCACGAAACTGACTCACCAACCACTTCCCAGGAACTGCATCACGTGATCCCATGGCCCCGGAAGCAAGAACGAGGCTGCTGATGTGACCACCTTGCTTCCCTCTGACAATGCTCCTATGAGTTACTCTCAATTAAGAAACATGTTAAGCACCTACTCTCTAGGGATTCCTAACACTTAGGGAACTTCCTCTTCTACTAGGCACCAGTGACTATGGAAAACGGTATAAACAAGGGAAGTCCTGCCCATTGGTCCATACGTTGGGGGTGAGGGGGTCCAGTGTATAAAAGGCCCAGAATGGAAGGAGGCATCAGTGAGAATCTGAGAAAGTCACCTGAGACCAGAAGCCCACGCCTCCACCTGCGACACCATGAGTGAATCGTGCTGCTCCCCGTGCTGCCAGCCCACGTGCTGCAGGACCACCTGCTGCAGGACCACCTGCTGCCAGCCCAGCTGCTGTGGATCCAGCTGCTGCGAGCCTTGCTGCTGCCGCCCAACGTGCTGTCAGACCACCTGCTGCAGGACCACGTGCTGCAAGCCCGCATGCTGTGTGTCCAGCTGCTGCCAGCCCAGCTGCTGTGGGTCCAGTGGCTGCGGGTCCAGCTGCTGCGAGCCTTGCTGCAGCCGCCCAACGTGCTGTCAGACCACCTGCTGCAGGACCACGTGCTGCAAGCCCGCATGCTGTGTGTCCAGCTGCTGCCAGCCTAGCTGCTGTGGGTCCAGTGGCTGCGGGTCCAGCTGCTGCCAGCCTTGCTGCTGCCGCCCAACGTGCTGTCAGACCACCTGCTGCAGGACCACCTGCTGCAAGCCCACATGCTGTGTGTCCAGCTGCTGCCAGCCTTGCTGCCGCCCCAGTTGCTGCTGCACACCCTGCTCCCAGCCAGCTTGCTGCACCCCCGTTATCTGCAGGAGAACCTGCTACCAGCCCACCTGCTGCTGCCTGCCCGGGTGCCTAGCCCAAGGCTGTGGATCCAGCTGCTGCCAGCCTTGCTGCTGCTGAGCAACTTGTTATACACTCAGCACTCACCGGAATGTATATCCTACGCCAGTTTGCCAAAGTTCCTGTCTTACAAGAAGTTGCTCCCTCGGCTTTCCTGGGGACACACACATGCTTACACTGCCCCTGTCATCTTTCTCAGCAATGCTTATGAGTCTATGGACGGAATGCAATCTACTTCAATTTGATTGTATTCTAGTGTCTCTGGTTTACTGTAGCAATTGCTGAGCCACTCCATTTGGTCAACCCCAGACGCTGGTCCACATCCATTGATTCACACTCTCAGTCTCCGGAAAGTGATCATCACCTTTCACTTCTACAGCATGTAAACACATTCTTATGAGTGCATATTAGCTCTCCGCAGTGATCAGTACTGATCATCTTTTTAGATAGATGCATTATAGTTCGTAAGTCCTGCCAGGTTACTAAGCTCTTTGCAATGGCTTTGAACTTTCTTCCTTCCGTTCTTTCCTAATAAAATCTGTGTCATCCTGCATCCAATGTTTCTATGTTCGTGTGGTTTTTCGTGTGTGTGTGTGTGTGTGTGTGTGTGTTATTACAGCACTTCCTTTATGAAGTCCTTCTTGAAGTTTTACTCTATGTATACACTTAGGTAGATATGACGCCCAAAGTAAATTGAAGCTTCAATATATTTATTCTCTCATTCAGTTACCACAATTGTCCCACAAATCAGGCAGAGCCAGGATTATCATTCCATTTTCATTCTCACTTAGAGAGCAGGAAATGCTTGACCATACAGCAAATAATTGACAGAAGCAGGTCCTTTGATTTCAGGTCAAGGACATTTTTAGTTACATCTTTCTAAAAATAGAAATAATCCTGGTGATGGGGCATAAGGGAGGCATACATTGTGAGTTGTTTCCATAACAAAGGAAATAATTATAAATTTCCTATAGAGAACCATTTCAGTCTACAAACCTCTTCCTAAACATTGTTCTCAGCTTTATGACCAATATGCCTTTAAGAGTTCTGGTTAATGAAAAGGGGCTTTGCAACTTCTCTGACATCAGATTCATTAGCACATATAGTGTTCCTGGCCCTATTCTTGCCGAGGGGAACCTGTTCTTTGTTCTCATGGATTGGCGTACTGGTATCATTGCTTTTATCTCTCTTTTTTTTTTAAGAGTTATATATTTATTTATTCATTCATTTATTCATTTATTTATTTATTTGAGAGAGAGCATGAGTGGGAAAGGCAGAGGGAGGTGGAGATAGAATCTCAAACAGACTCCCCCCATGAGCGTAGAGCCTGACCCAGGGCTCAGTCTGACAAGCCTGAGATCATGATCTGAGGCAAAACCAAGAGTGGATGCTTCTCTGAATGCGCCACCCAAGTGCCCCTCATTTCATTCATCTTAAAGAAATTGGTATGAAGAATCACCCTTGCAAGCACACAAGCTCAGGCCACAATTCCAAGGCTCTCAAACTTTGAGGCAATTTGATGTCCTGACCTGGACATTGTTCAGAGAAGAGAAGTTTGTAGAGTCCTGATAGTTGAGGTACCCATGCAGCAGGCATAGGCTGCTTTGATCCAATCACAGTCTTTAGGCGGTAAACAAAGAGAGAACGATTTCCTGTGTTCTTTTCTTGTAAGAGTTTCTTTCTTTCTTCGTGAGAGACACCGGGAGAGAGGCTGAAACATAGGCAGAGGGAGAACAGGCTCCCTGTTGGGGGGTGGATGTGGGACTCCATTCCAGGACCCCAGGATCACCACCTGAGCTGAAGGCAGATGCTCAACCACTGAGCCACCAGGCTTCCCCAACTTCCTGTGTTCTGTGAGATAAAGACACATAGGCTAGAGGAAATTCACATCCGAATTTTCAAGAAAAGGAGGATAAAGGAGAATGAAAACAAAAACGGAGCAGAAAGGATGCACTCTTCCAAATCAAGACAGATGTTAGTTAGGTTGCCTCCCCAAAGGAGGAAACCTGGATCTTTGGGTGAAGAGCTGAATAACAAAGACAACTCTGAAGGCACCCAGCAGGACAAGGATTAGGAAGGCTCTGGGCAGAAAATAAAATAAGAGGTTTTGATCACGGCCACCTTCTCAAGAGATATAAAAATGCTTTGGAATAGTGAACACACTACATGTGACGGGGAGTATCGTCTTCCTAGAGGACGTATGTGGAATTCTCTGCCAGAGTACTTAAGTTCACAAGGCAGAGAACTTATGGGAAGAATTCCTGACATTTCCTGAGGACCTGCCACACGCTGGGCACTCAGAGAGATGCTTTACCTGCACACTCTTTATTTGTCATACAATCCTGGAAAGTGAGCATCACTACTTCCATATTGTGGAGCTGAGGAAACCAGTGTGGAGGAAAGTAGCTTGTTCAAAATTGCATGTGCACTGAAACTCCATCTTGTTTTCAAAAACAGCTGTTTGGTGGGCTACACGTGAAATGATGAACACAGAAATCAGTGCAACAAAACCGAGAGTCCACAAATAGACACACGTTTCTTAGGCATTGAATTTTGCAGAAAGGTGCCAATTCTATAGGCAGAGAAAGTGTAGTCTTTTAAACAAATGGTGTTGGAACAATTAAACAGACATGCCCCCCCCACTCCTCAAAATAAACTTCAACCCATCCTTCATATCATATACAACATCCGACGCAAATAGATTATAGCCCCAAATGTAAAGCCCAAAACTACAAAACTTCCAGACAGAAATCTAGGGAAACGTTCTATAGAGCTCCTAGCTTCCACCGCCACCCCATAATGGGGCCTACTTCTGTTTGGGCCAACTTCGGAGGATGCCGCTAGCTTGCATTATCCGTTTTCTGTACTACTCCCTTCAATAACTGTGCAAGTCTTCATCTCCAATTTTATCTTCAATCACTAGGTTCTCTATCGTAGACGACGATAGATCTTGGTTATGAGAATTGGAATCGTTTAGAAGACTATTTAAATTCCTGTTCTGCTACTCACCAGCTACATGTGTTGGGCAAAATATAAGCTGTATTTATGCTCCTTCATAAAACTTTCTCCTACATTTTGTGTCATCCGCCTTTTTTTTTCCATACACACACACACAGAGAGAGAGAGAGACAGAGAGAGAGAGGGAGAAAGCGAGCATTGCAGGGGTGTGGGACAGAGAATGAAGGAGGGGCCGAGCGGACTCCCACTGAGCTCCCACTGAGAGAGCCTGATGCGAGCCTCAGCCCCAGGACCCAGAGATCATGACCTGAGCCAAAGTCAGACTCTGAACAAACTGAGCCACACACGTGGCCCAGGGACATTTCCTCTTGTGTGGACCCAACACCGGACTCTCTCAACCCCTCTCTCTTTGTCTCCCTTTTCTCTCCCCACAGAAACGGCCCCCCTCCCCTCCGTGGCACAACAGTTTTCCTCTCCCCCAATTCACTTAAACACCCCTCATACCTGCAGGGCCATGTCCCCCCAACCACACAGATCCTTCTTCCAACCTTCCTATCAATTTCCTGGGTGTTCCAAGTGACCTGAGCTCAATAGAACTGTGATGCAGGGATCAGGAAAGCCCATGGCCACCTCCTTCTCTGCCACTTAACTCCTCCCTCCTAATCCTTGAAGGAATTCTTAAAGTACATCCTAAGGTTCCCATGGTAGAAGTGAGGAAATCGGGACAGAGATAGGTAATGTCAGAGTTTGGTTTTTCCCAGAAGCTACTCTGAAGAACAGCATTCAGGCATGTGGTTTCTTGCGGGAGGGAGGGCAGATCCCACTGGTTGGAAGGTGGGGAAGTGATACAGGATGGAGGCCAGCGTCACAGTTTTCAACTGGCTCAATCCTGAGAAATAGATCAGAAAAGAATAGAAACAGCCATGTCAGGATTCTCCTCTTTCAGGAGCAAGGACAGCCCTGCAGTCACATACACCAACTCTCCAGAAGCATTGGTTGAGCGCTTCTGTCAGTGCGGCACACACCCAGGCAACATGACATCCTGCTGTTGCATGAAAACAGCCCGCCCCGAGGCATAGAGATGCAGATCTGCTGCTGTGTAGAAATTGTCCTGAACACAGGAAGATCTGATCTCTATGCCCGGCATGTGTAAGGCATCATCTACAGTCTACGATTTTCTCCACTCGGACCCCACATTTTCTCCTTCACGATGGCAGGCAGGCACAATTTGTGTAAAAGGAAGACAGAGGAGAAAGAAGAGGGAAAAGAGGAGGAGAAGGGATGGCACGGTGGGACGCAGGAAGAGAAAACAGTAACTGTGGAGTCAGTGCGACTAAATATCTCACTCTGCTGGTTAACAAGGTTAGGGCTAGGGTCACCGACTCATCCCAAACTGCCCCGCTTATACCACTGACAGGCCCACGGACTGGGAAAACACTCATTTCTGGGTAAATGAGAGCAGGACTGCTGGTCACTCAGGAAGTATGTTCATGGATGCTTGTTGAGTCCTGTTTCTATCCACCTGCTCGATTCGGCCTTGACATATGGAAGACATGATGCCAGACGTCCTCCACCCAAGTGTCTTTGATTGCACTGCCCTATGCAAACGGGGTAGGGTGCTCCCAGAGACAGATGCCTGCGGGCCTCTGGAATGAGGCACTTTGGGGAAACAGACTCGGGCTCCAGCATGATTGCAATTCATCACTATGAACATATCAACATCAAGCTCCCTTCACCTCAGGGATACTCCCAGTCTGCATGCAACCCAAGTACCAGTGCTGGGCAAGGAGCACGAAACTGACTCACCAACCACTTCCCAGGAACTGCATCACGTGATCCCATGGCCCCGGAAGCAAGAACGAGGCTGCTGATGTGACCACCTTGCTTCCCTCTGACAATGTTCCTATGAGTTACTCTCAATTAAGAAACATGTTAAGCACCTACTCTCTAGGGATTCCTAACACTTAGGGAACTTCCTCTTCTACTAGGCACCAGTGACTATGGAAAACGGTATAAACAAGGGAAGTCCTGCCCATTGGTCCATACGTTGGGGGTGAGGGGGTCCAGTGTATAAAAGGCCCAGAATGGAAGGAGGCATCAGTGAGAATCTGAGAAAGTCACCTGAGACCAGAAGCCCACGCCTCCACCTGCGACACCATGAGTGAATCGTGCTGCTCCCCGTGCTGCCAGCCCACGTGCTGCAGGACCACCTGCTTCAGGACCACCTGCTGCCAGCCCAGCTGCTGTGGATCCAGCTGCTGCGAGCCTTGCTGCTGCCGCCCAACGTGCTGTCAGACCACCTGCTGCAGGACCACGTGCTGCAAGCCCGCATGCTGTGTGTCCAGCTGCTGCCAGCCCAGCTGCTGTGGGTCCAGTGGCTGCGGGTCCAGCTGCTGCCAGCCTTGCTGCAGCCGCCCAACGTGCTGTCAGACCACCTGCTGCACGACCACCTGCTGCAAGCCCACATGCTGTGTGTCCAGCTGCTGCCAGCCTAGCTGCTGTGGGTCCAGTGGCTGCGGGTCCAGCTGCTGCCAGCCTTGCTGCAGCCGCCCAACGTGCTGTCAGACCACCTGCTGCACGACCACCTGCTGCAAGCCCACATGCTGTGTGTCCAGCTGCTGCCAGCCTAGCTGCTGTGGGTCCAGTGGCTGCGGGTCCAGCTGCTGCGAGCCTTGCTGCAGCCGCCCAACGTGCTGTCAGACCACCTGCTGCAGGACCACGTGCTGCAAGCCCGCATGCTGTGTGTCCAGCTGCTGCCAGCCTAGCTGCTGTGGGTCCAGTGGCTGCGGGTCCAGCTGCTGCCAGCCTTGCTGCAGCCGCCCAACGTGCTGTCAGACCACCTGCTGCAGGACCACCTGCTGCAAGCCCACATGCTGTGTGTCCAGCTGCTGCCAGCCTTGCTGCCGCCCCAGTTGCTGCTGCACACCCTGCTCCCAGCCAGCTTGCTGCACCCCCGTTATCTGCAGGAGAACCTGCTACCAGCCCACCTGCTGCTGCCTGCCCGGGTGCCTAGCCCAAGGCTGTGGATCCAGCTGCTGCCAGCCTTGCTGCTGCTGAGCAACTTGTTATACACTCAGCACTCACCGGAATGTATATCCTACGCCAGTTTGCCAAAGTTCCTGTCTTACAAGAAGTTGCTCCCTCGGCTTTCCTGGGGACACACACATGCTTACACTGCCCCTGTCATCTTTCTCAGCAATGCTTATGAGTCTATGGGCGGAATGCAATCTACTTCAATTTGATTGTATTCTAGTGTCTCTGGTTTACTGTAGCAATTGCTGAGCCACTCCATTTGGTCAACCCCAGACGCTGGTCCACATCCATTGATTCACACTCTCAGTCTCCGGAAAGTGATCATCACCTTTCACTTCTACAGCATGTAAACACATTCTTATGAGTGCATATTAGCTCTCCGCAGTGATCAGTACTGATCATCTTTTTAGATAGATGCATTATAGTTCGTAAGTCCTGCCAGGTTACTAAGCTCTTTGCAATGGCTTTGAACTTTCTTCCTTCCGTTCTTTCCTAATAAAATCTGTGTCATCCTGCATCCAATGTTTCTATGTTCGTGTGGTTTTTCGTGTGTGTGTGTGTGTGTGTGTGTGTGTTATTACAGCACTTCCTTTATGAAGTCCTTCTTGAAGTTTTACTCTATGTATACACTTAGGTAGATATGACGCCCAAAGTAAATTGAAGCTTCAATATATTTATTCTCTCATTCAGTTACCACAATTGTCCCACAAATCAGGCAGAGCCAGGATTATCATTCCATTTTCATTCTCACTTAGAGAGCAGGAAATGCTTGACCATACAGCAAATAATTGACAGAAGCAGGTCCTTTGATTTCAGGTCAAGGACATTTTTAGTTACATCTTTCTAAAAATAGAAATAATCCTGGTGATGGGGCATAAGTTAGGTCGACATTTTGAGTTCATTCAATAACAAGGAAAATAATTATATCTTTCCTAAAGAGAACCATTTCAGTCTACAAACCTCTTCATAAATATTCTTCCCATCTTTATGACCAATATATCTTTAAGAGTTCTAGTTAATGAAAGGAGGCTTTACATCTTCTCTGACATGAGGTTCATTGGCACATATGGTGTTCCCGGCCCTATTCTTGCCTAGAGGAACCTGTTCTTTGTTGTCATGGATTGACATGCTGGTATCATTGCATTTATCTTTGTTTTTTAAGAGTTATGTGTTTATTTATTTATTTATTTATTTATTTATTTATTTATTTATTTGAGATAGAGCGTGAATGGGAGAGTTAGAGTGAGTTGGAGAGAGAATATCAAGCGGACTCTCTGCTGAGCATGGTGTCTGACTCAGGGCTCAGTCTCTGAATCTTGAGATCATGACCTGATCCAAGACCTAGTGTCGGATGCTTAACTGTCTCTTCCAACCCAGTGTAGAGGGATAGAAAAAAAGCAGCTGACACAGACTTCATGGGGAGCAAGACTGGTTGGAGGGCCCAATCTCATTTTTTTTGAAATCATTACTCAATCAGAAATAAGAATCAGATTCTTAACCACCTAAACCATCTAGGAACCTTATCATCCCTCCTTTTGTATGTATCTTTCTTTTTCCCACTTACATCCTAAATTGTATTCCACCTATGGATTAATTTGGAATGATTTATTTTTCCCTTTTTTTCCTTCTCCTTATTGTTTCAGCCAATCTTTAGCAGATACCTCTGTAGCAGGTCACAGTTCTTTTATTTAGAGAATTATAGCAGAAATACATCTTATTTAAAATCCTTAATAGTGTAAAATAGATTTTGTCCCTCTATAGCCTTGGTTTTACCTCTTTTGTTTACTCCTATGTCCATGACTTAACATAAACCATACCTCATATTTACAAGTTAAACCTCCAGACCAAGGTACTAACAGGAAGCTATTTCATATCCAGAGTTTGGTGCTGACCTAAATGACTAAATGATACACTATTTGTTTTCAATTCCATTTGATTCCTGCAGAAACCTAATGGAATATGACATATGATAATGTAATACCTTGAATTTTATCAATCGATAGCCCCAGTAGCAGCTTTTATGCCGCATAATGGAACTTTTGCATCACATCAAAAACTTCTGATCTGAAAAGGGAGTAGAAAGTGGGAACAGTCCCAGTGAAAAGAACTATAAGAAGCACAGATGGTTTTACATTTTGTTTGAAGAAAAGTGGGCTGAGAAAATGGTGTTCATGGCCTTTTCGCAAGTGGTGAAAAACTTGATTACTTGGTCTGAGATCTCAAATCAAAAAGACTGAAAGATTAGAGAATCATTTAGACAGATATGGGTATGGGGACAGAAGTGTTCCCTCTCTGTGTCCAACATCATTGCCCACAAGAGAGTATCTATCCCTTGAGGGGCTCTAGATGAGTCTGGGATAACATACCACATCTCTCTCCTCAGTCGCTCCAGTACTTACCCTGGAGACCATTAACAAAACCACAGTGGCATGAAACACAGAGGCTTTGCATGGAACCAACAGCATTCGCTCTGTCTCACTGTGGGTGTCTCTGTTGAATGTACTGTTTGTCAGTAGCAGACATTGATGTCAAGCGCTTAGTAAGTTAACAACCCTCCTGAAAATGAACCATACTACATTGAAGCGAGCTGGTTTAAAGTTGGGAAGCATGCCATAGGGTCTATATTTTGCAGGAAATACTTAATTCCTTTTTGCTCTTAAAAAGTATTCAGGGGGATCCCTGGGTGGCGCAGCGGTTTGGCGCCTGCCTTTGGCCCAGGGCGCCATCCTGGAGACCCGGGATCGGATCCCACGTCGGGCTCCCGGTGCATGAGCCTGCTTCTCCCTCTGCCTGTGTCTCTGCCTCTCTCTGTCTCTGTCTCTGTCTCTCTCTCTCTCTCTCTCTCTCTGTGACTATCATAAATAAATTTTTAAAAAATTAAAAAAAATCTTTTAAAAAAAAGTATTCTGGGGACAGATGACATACAAGAATTTGATTTATATGATCCTGAAGAACAAATCCTGATAAATGAACCCCTCTCTTATGAGGACACAATGGATGCTCAAAATTATTTGATGCAGATCAATTACATGAGGGGCTGGTCAGACCCTGAGACAAGGAAAGTTTCCCTGCATTCATGAGCACTCTTAAATGAACCACTGCTGCCTGACTGAAACAGCTGCTGCTCACTGAGATGTGGGATGTTGATTTGGGAAGAACTTGGCAAATACAAATACAAATATAGATAGATAGATGATAGATAGATAGATAGATAGATAGATATAGAGATATATGTATGTATATATATATATATAATCTGTGTATATATATATGGGATTATTCTTCTATTGCTAAGGATAAATTCAAGTGCACATCTTGCTAGTACTCAGTCCCGTTTCATCTCTACTTGTCCTGATATGTAAATGTACATGCCCTTGACAGGAGTAGAAAACCCAGTTTTTGTTCTGAGGTTGTCCATTTTTACCAACACAACATCGCACAATGAAATTTTCTCATCTGAAAATGGAGAATCTAACTTGAGGGATGCTACCATAGGGCTCAGAATGGATAATGCCCAGGGTATTTCCTGAGCGGTCTGCAGATGGGAATGTGAGCGTCCTTCAGTCAGGGCAGGAGATACAGCCTGGCATCTGAGTCTGTCCCTGTCAGCTCTGTGACATGACGCTGTGGGATTTCCTCATCTACAAATGAAGATACAAATTTATGGAGACTATATGGGGCTCCAAAAGGATAACACATTTGGCATGGGACCTGCGTAAACATCGTTATGTTGAGTATGTGGAACAAGGACATGAAAACCAAAGAGGATGCAGAATGGTACAGAGTTTATTAAGAAATATAGGTGAGATCCCTGCATCTAGGGAGACATTCAAAAGGATCATGACAAGAAGAAATAAGCATACAAGAACCATGAGTACACTAAGAAAGAAAACATAGGTGTTATTCTGTATGTTGGTAAATTGAACACCAATAAAAATTAATTTATAAAAAAAAAAGAAAACATACTTGTACAGATAAGGTACTTAGGATGAAGATCTTGACTATGGAGTCAAAGCAGAGATCTTGACTCTGTATCAGGATTCATGAAACTGGCAGGGGGCTCACAAGACATAAGGAAGAAGAGAATCAGGGAGAAAGGGTACACACTTCATCAAGCTGATTCACAAGCTTGTAAACAGGCAGATGAGTAACAGAAATGCTGGTGATTGCATGCTGGCTTTCAGCAACATTTGGTAGTGTCTTTGTTTCCCAAATGGCTAATCAGTATTGTGTATAGATGGTGGTTCTTGGTGAGGTAATCAGTAACAATAAGGCTGGCAGCATCTGGACACACAGCATCTGGATGGCAGCATCAGTTGGTCCTACAGTAGGTGGTGTGGCAACAATTTGGCTGACAACAAGGCTAACAGCAGCTGGATCCGCAGCCCAGGGATAGGCACCCAGGCAAGCAGCAGTAAGTGGGCTGGTAGCAGGTTCTCCTACAGTACACAGGGGTACAGCAGGCGGTTGGCAGCAACTGGACCCACAGCAGCATTGTCCACAGCCACTGGACCCACAGCAGCTGGGCTGGCAGCAGCTGGACACACAGCATGTGGGCTTGCAGCACGTGGTCCTGCAGCAGGTGGTCCTGCAGCATGTAGGCTGGCAGCAAGGGGAGCAACACGAGTTGGTCATGGTGTCAGGAAGGGGGAAAGGGCGGCTTCTGTTCCAAGATAAGATTCTCAAATTCTGACTGATGTCTCCTTCTGTTCTGGGCTCTTTTATGCACTGGATCCCCAAATTTGGACCTATGGGCATGACTTCCTTGTTGTTTACATTGTTTTCCTAATAATTTGGGAATTGTAAAAGAGGAAATTGTTTCCCTAATGTTATGAATCTTTAGAAAATAGATGCTTAATATGTTTCTTATTTGAGAATAACTCACAGAAGTATTTTCAGATGAAAGGAAGATGGTCACATCAGTAGCATTTTTCCTGCTTCAACAATAATCTCATCATGTGACTTAGTTCCCACTGGCCTGGGGTGTGTTTGGAGGGGTCAGAGCAGTGGTACCTCCCCAGCTTTATTTGTTAGGCTGCATGTAGATTGGAGATATCTCTGAGGTGAGGGGCATGATACTGATATGTTCAGAGGGACAAATTGAATCCATGCCTGAGCCCAAGTTTGTTTCTCCAGAAAAGCCTGATTCAGAGCTTCCGCAGACATCTGTCTCTCCTAGCACCCTACCCTACTTGTGTATCCCAGTTCCCTTAAAGACCCTTGGGTGGAATATGTCTGGCATCATCTCTTCCATATCACAGGATAGAATCAATCAATGTGTAGAAACAGCAGCAATACACAGGGACTAAGCAATCATCAGTTAATGTATTTCCTGTGTGACCATTACTCTTGATTTACCCTGGAATAAGGGTTTTCCCCAGATATGGGACTTCAGTAATGGAACTGGGGTAGTTGACAGATCAGGATGAGTTGGAGACTTTAGACCTAACCTTGTGAACCAGCAGAATATGTGAATTCATGTCACTGACAACACATTTATAGTTTATTTTTTTATTTTTCTTTTTTTAATTTAAATTCAATTTACCAACTTTTTGTATTTTTTTCTTATTTGCTAACATTTAACATGGGAATTGGATTAGTTAAGGTGATATCTGATTTATCTTTTGGATCTAACATGTTTAAATGTTTTTAGATATACCATTCATTTAAAAAGTATGCAAATTATTAATTTCTAACTTGATGGGTTATCATAAAATGAACACATCCATGTTAATATAACCAGGATAAGGAATAGAAATAAGGAGTAGATTGCTCACAGAATTGCTTGATCAAAATACTTATTTCATTTCTATCTCACATGCAGGTCAACCCTTGGATTTTTCTGGAAATTTTGTATTTCCCTCCCATTATGGATGGGCCAAGTTGAAGGCAGATACCTTCTTTAAGAGATCACAATTCTCATATTTTCAATTTTTACCACATAACACATTAATCCATCGTGCTTATTTTTAATAAAGAGGCTTTTCTTCTCCCTTTCTTCTTCCTGTGATAATCTTGTATTTTGTCTGTTTTGTTAAATTCTGCATCCCTCACTCAACATAAACTACATTTCAAATTTAGAAATTATAAGCTGACATGTTCTCATTCTCCCTCCCATACTGTAGAAAAAGGATAACAATATGTGGAAACAATAGTCATTCATATGTCATTGATCAAAAAATTTCTCCCCTTGATCTTTTTGGTGGCATTATAGATAAGCAAGTGCCAAGGTTAACCTCATAGATAAGTGCTTTCTAGTAATGTTTTGCAATGGTCCACAGAACATGAACTGTTCTGATTGGCTAGAGAATGGAGTCAGAAAGGCTCAGAGAAATTTACATGGTAGATTGGATTTATTTCTTGTCAGAGGGCCCACAAACTGATCATATTCCCTGGAAGGTCCCAAAGGACATTCCATCACAAAGGCAGTAAATCATGTGCGTCATTAAAAAGAACAGTGGTGGTAATCCTCTATTGCCAGGGTTGATGGAATAAGATGATGATAGAGAACTGGGAAATGGGGTGCCAGAAGAACAGAGTCAGGGTAGAAGTAATTACCAAAATAGGAAGAAATGTCAACCAGCCATCCTTGACTCACAGAGATCTGACCAATAGACTATCGCTTCCTTAAGGGTGAGGTAATTGTGCATCCAACACAGTACCAGTATTACCCTGGCACTGCCATAAACATTGGAAAAGATTCAACAATAGTGAATCAGAAGCTGATGTCAGACACTTCAATAGAAAATTATGACCTCCCATTCAATTTCCTGACCTGAGTCAGTTCTCCAACGTAGAACTCTTCAAATAAAGGAGAGGTTTAGTCTTCTTGAGAAAGATTCTGCAACAGTGAAATGTGTGTGTGTGTGTGTGTGCATGTGTGTGTAGCATGTTTTTCCCCAATCCTTCCACAAAGGATTTATAATCATATGTCCGAGTAACTATACACTAGGGAAAGGTGAAAACCCAAATATTTCCAAAGGTGTTTGATGCAGAGCTTGTGCTGACTCTGATACCAGGAGTCCTTCTATTAAAGTGCATGCATATGGAGGCCAGGTAATAAATGGAGTTCTGGTTCATGTCTATCTCATGTGGGTCTAATTGGTATTAAGGTCCACTTTATACTCATTTCCATGCTACTTATACGTAGTGAGTAGCAGAATCCTTCCATTGTGTGTTAGTTTGGTCCTCCAGGAATCAGACACTGAAACAGCATTAAGAATGTAAAAAGTTAAAAAAAAAAAAAGAATGTAAAAAGTTTACTAGGAAATAATGCGAATGAAAGATTTAAAAGGGGGAGTAAGGGCAGCCCAGGTGGCTCAGCGGTTTAGCAGAGTGATTTTTTTTTTATTTTTTTTATTCATTTATGATAGTCACAGAGAGAGAGGGGGCAGAGACATACGCAGAGGGAGAAGCAGGCTCCATGCACCGGGAGCCCGATGTGGGATTCGATCCTGGGTCTCCAGGATCGCGCCCTGGGCCAAAGGCAGGCGCCAAACCGCTGCGCCACCCAGGGATCCCTGGCTCAGCGGTTTAGCACCACCTTCAGCCCAGGGCCTGATCCTGGAGACACAGGATCGAGCCCCACGTCGGGCTCCCTGCATGGAGCCTGCTTCTCCCTCTGCCTGTGTCTCTGCCTCTCTCTCTCTCTCTCTCTCTCTCTAATGAATAAATAAAATCTTTAAAAAGGTGGGGGAGTAAGGGAGAGTAGGTGGCAAAAACCTACAAACTGCAATGTAGGTATGACATCTTTCCCAAAAATGTATGAAATAGACAGCATTAGGCAAGGAGAACATAAGCCTACCATGCGGGCTTGACAAAACATTGGTCAACCCAATGGAGATATCCAGAGCAAAGACGGCCATCAGTAAGTTCCCATGTTGGGAAGAAGATGCTAGGCCCTAGTACTTTTATGGTGTGTGATTATGAGCCATGGGTTTACAGAAAAAACATGCCCTTAGCTCTAAAGGTGATGAAGATCCTGAAGTTGCTAACAGTTGGAATCTATCAGCTACCTGCACTCTTTACAACAGAAGTGCAGATATCTCCAGACATATGAAGTAAAAGCCACAATAGAAACAAAGACCGAATAAGAGACCCTAAACACTCCTCTCTTCCTAACCAATGTATTAACCAGAAGCAGTAGTAATTCATGTGGACCAGCAGAATTTAGTGCTCCCTCAAAGACTTAAAGAATGCAGGTATGGTAGTTCCCAGCAAACTTCATTTGATTGCCAAACTGGCTCCTCCAAAAACCTAATGGATCATGGTATATAATTATGGAATATCTTAAACTTAAATCAATTGATAGACCCATTAACAGCTATAACATTTCAGTACCATTTAAGTTTAAAGGCCGTAGAAAGAAGAAATACTCCCAGTGAGCATAACCATGAGTACACATGGTCATAAGTTTCTTTTGTAGAAAAAGTGGCCTATTCCATCCTAAAGCAACAGAAAACCCATTCTTGGGCAGCCCTGGTGGCCCAGCAGTTTAGCGCCACCTTCAGCCGGATGATCCTGGAGACCTGAGATCGAGCCCCATGTCGGGCTCCCTGGATGGAGCCTGCTTCTCCCTCTGCCTGTGTCTCTGCCTCTCTCTTTCTCTCTGTGTCTTCATGAATAAATAAATAAAACCTTTATTAAAAAAAAAGAATACCCATTCTTCTCCAGTGCACATGGAACATCCTCCAGAATAGATCACATACTGCGTCACAAATCAGGTCTCAACTGATACCAAAAGACTGGGATTATTCCCTGCATATTTTCATGCTTTGAATTTTGAACTTAATCATAAGAGGAAATTTGGAAGAAAGTCAAATACTTGGAGGTTAAAGAGCATCTTACTAAAGAATGAATGGGTCAACCAGGAAATTAAGAATTAAAAAAAATCATGGAAGCAAATGAAAATGAAAACACAACAGTTCAGAACATTTGGGATGTAACAAAGATGGTCCTAAGATGGAAGTATATAGCAATAGAGGCCTTTCTCAATAAATAAGTCTCAAAACACAAGCTAACCTTACATCTAAAGGATCTGGAAAAAGAATTGCAAATAAAGGCTAAACCTAGCAGAAGAGAAATAATAAAGATTAGATCAGAAATCAATGAAATTGAAACCAAATAACAGTGGAACAATCAATGACGCTAGGTTCTTTGAAAGAATTAATAAAATTGATAAACCGCTAGCCTGCCTTATGAAGAAGAAAGAGGAGGAGGAGGAGGAAGAAGAAGAGGAGGAGAAAAAGAAAGAAAAGAAAGAAAAGAAAAGAAAAGAAAAGAAAAGAAGCCCCAAATAAATAAAATCACAAATGAAAGAGGATAGATCACAATCAACACTCAAGAAATACAAACAATTATAAGAACATATTATGAGCAACTATATGCCAACAAATTGGGCAATCTGGAAGAAATGGATGCATTCCTAGAAACATATAAACTACCAAAATAGAAAACCTGAACAGACCCATAGCCAGCAAGGAAATTGAAGCAGTAATCAAAAGACTCTGAACAAACAAGAGTTCAGAACCAGAACAAACAAGAGTTCAGTCTTCCCAGGGGAATTCAACCAAACATTTAATGAAGAATGAATACCTATTCTTCTAAAGCTGTTTCAAAAAGTAGAAACAGAAGGAAAACTTCTAAACTCATTCTATGAGACCAATATTACCTTGATCCCAAAACTAGGCAAAGACCCATTAAAAAGGAAAATTACAGAGCAGTATCCCTGATGAACATGGATGCCAATATTCTCACCAAAATACTAACCAATAGGATCCAATAGTACATTAAGAGGATTATTTACCACAACCAAATGGGATTTATCCCTGGGATGCAAGAATGGTTCAACATCTACAAATCAATCAATGTGATAAATCACATTAATAAAAGAAAGGACAAGAATCATATGACCCTCTCAATTGATGCAGAAAAAGCATTTGACAAAGTGCAGCTTACTTCCTTAATTAAAACTCTCCACAGTGTAGGGATGGAGGGAACATACCCCAATATCATAAAAAACATTTATGAAGATCCCATAGCAAATCTCATTCTCAATTGGGAAAAACAAATGTCTATACGAGGGACATTTCAGCCAGAGGACATGATCTAATGAAAAACTGTCACCTAGTCATTTTGGACTCCTCATGTTAGTAGACCAGCATGTAGAGAAAAGGGTCACTGTTTGGTGATGGATAATTATCATAAAAAGGTAGACTGCAGAGAGAAAGGTATCTGGAACACAGGAGATTTCACTGGAATATCTATGGGTCTGTCCATCTGTGTATCAGTAATCAGACACTCAGATCCATTGGACAGGATTATCTGGGCTACTCCATTGGGACATTATCCAAAATAATAGAAATATCCAAAATAATAGAAGCATTGGCTAAGATAAAGGAAATATAGGACTACTAGCAAAAGATGGAGACGATGAGTATTCGTTGCACACTACTACAGTGCCAGTAGCTGCCGCTTCTTCCATTAGACTTCCTGTTATACACCCCTTTATTTTCCTCCCCACCTTCTTCTCTGCCAACATTCCTCTCTTATTTCCTTCCTTCTTTCCTTTCTTCATTCCCTCCTTCCTATGATTTCTTCTTCTCTATAGTTCTCTTTTTCTCCTTCCTTCTCCTCCTCCTTCTTTTCCTTATTCATCTTTTTCTAGAAATTGTGGGTCTCCACCACCTTGAAAAAACAGAGATTACTCTGAGAGGAACAAAGATGATGTATTCATTGTAGATGATATATTCAATACCTCACTTCTATGTGCTGAGTATTAGTGTCTTTTCAAATGCATCTGCTGACAACTTAATCCCCAATGAGATGACATTTAGAGATGGGATCTTTAAGAGGTAATTATATTTGGAAGAGGTTATGAGGATGAACCCCCTATAATAGGATTGATGTTCTTATAATAAGAGACAGAGACCAAAGTTCTCTTACTTTCTCTCTGCCACTTGAAGATACAACCAAAACACAGCCATCAGCAAACCAGGAAGAGGATTCAAGCAGACACTTAAACTGCCAGCACCTTGATCTTTGACTTCCCAGCCTCCAGAACTGTGGCATATAAATTTTATTGTGTGAGCCACCCAGTCTGTGGACGTTCATTATAGCACCCTAAACTGTCTGACACAACAAATCACATATCTTGGATCTCAGTGTGCTCAGGCCAGCTTCCAATAGCCATATGTACATCTCTGTGTCTAAGGATTCTCTTCATGCAACAGCAGAAAGTCATTCAGTCTATGCATGTAATACTGAGAAAAACACACAACCAATGATTCTGGAGAGTTGTCCATAAAGATTCCAGCTCCATTTCATCAAGTAGGATAGTTCTAAAGTGTATTTTTTTACACTGTTTCTGATCATTTTCCATCAGGCTTAAGCTTCAGTTGCAGACAGTGATGCTAGATTCATATACATTTTTACCTGTCTCATTTCTTCAATTCTCTGCGAGTTTGCTATGCACATCCTAAAAAAATGTCCACTTGGTTCTTTTTCTTGAGATAGTGTTTCTGAGGAAACAAACTATGAATTCACCTCTCTGGATCTTAATTTCTTCTTTTCTAAAATGGGAATATTTATATTTCCTTGAAACTTTCTTCAGAATTAAAGGTAATGTATATGAAGCATTTGGTCCCTACCTAGCAACCCAGGTCAGATCCATTCCTCACCTCTGAATGCAAACCCCCATCTCTGAATGACCAGCAGGAGGCACAACTGGTCTTGGCAGCCTGTCCAGAGCCTCCCATAGAGCTAGTCTCCAATGTTGGCGCGTGCCCCAGGCAGGAACCTTCCTAGCTCATCAGAGGTCCCTCCACTGCTCCAGGAGGTGACCCAGAGCCTAGGTCTCCTCTTCCTCTCAGAGCCCAAATCAGGCCTCACATCCTTGAGCACCCAGGCAGCATTGTTAATATGTTGAGGACTGGAAGCACCAGCCTTCTATCTATGGCGGCTCCTAATGAATGCCCATCGTTTTGTTTTGTTTTGTTTTGTTTCTCCTCTTTCTTCTTCCTCACATTCGTCTCACCCCCCTGGAACATGATCTTAATTCACCTCAAGTTCTTCATAGTTGGCCTCAGAAAATACAAGCGGTTGTTTAGTTTCTTGGATGGTTCATAGGTCATGTGTTACTCAAAGTCATACATGCCCATTACATAGTCTCTGAGTCTTCAACTTTGTCTTAACCTGAATTTCTTAATAGCATTTTGGTGAGCAATTTCCATAACTTTAGGGGAATACAATATATAGTCCACTTTTTATTGCAGAGAATTATTTATTTTCTTATTATATTGAGAGAGATTTAGTAGAAGGAGACTATTCAGAATTGGATTTACACAATACAGAGAAAGTCAGTTTAGATAAGAGTCTCTCTTGTGAGGACACAGTGGATGCTAACTATTTCATGAGGATGAATTGCATGTGTGACTGAACATGTGGAAACAGGAAAGGCTATGTGTTTTCTTGAGAGCTCCAAAAGGCAGCTCCCACCTGCCCTTCCATGTATATACTGCTTGCTGTGTTGTGAGAAACTGATTTTTGAACAGTTTCCGCATATATGAGGGATTGTTTCTTCCATTTGTAAAGAATAAATACATTTGCATAGCTTACTAGTGTTCAGTACTAAATATTATTGCTACTTCTATTGACATGTCAATGTAGTTGTCTTTGAGCAGGAACAAATGATCCAATCCTGTATCTAAGTTTATCATTATTAACTACATTAAATTACACAGTGAAATATTATCACTTTAAAATGTAGAATATAATTCATGACAGGCTGTTGTGTAGCTCAGGTCAGATAATGCATATTGTACCCAATATGTACATAAGTTCCTATATTGGGAATATTGTACAGTAAAACAAAACACAATATAGGGTGAATTATGATATAGCCTTTATTAAGAAACATATAAGTAAGATACTTGCATCTAAAGATGAAAGCAGGAGAAAGAACCATGAGCACATTGAAAAATATATATAATTATGAAGGTTATTAATCAGTTGCAGGAACCTATGAAAAAGTTTTGGAGACTTATTTTCCTAACCTACTTAGAGGGAACAGATGATCCTGATTTCAGAAACCAAGACGACAATTTAGTATCAAGGATTTATGAAACTGACACAAGATCCACATACTTGAAAGGAAGAGAATTGGAGGAAGTCCTCTGTACAACATCAAACTGATTCACAAGCTTATAAAAACACATATGAAAAAAAAATCTCATGGTTGCATGGTGACTTTCAGCAAAATCAAGCAAGGAAATTTGTCCTAAATGGCAAGTCAGTTAACAGGAAGGTGTTGTGTGCAAATGGTGTTTCTTTGGTCAGGTGATGAGCAACAGGAAGGCTAACAGCAGCTGGATCCACAGCCTTGGGCTAAGCACCCGGGCAGGCAGCAGCAGGTGGGCTGGTAGCAGGTTCTCCTGCAGAAAATGGGGGTGCAGCAAGCTGGCTGGGAGCAGGGTGTGCAGCAGCAACTGGGGCGGCAGCAAGGCTGGCAGCAGCTGGACCCGCAGCCACTGGACCCACAGCAGCTGGGCTGGCAGCAGCTGGACACACAGCATGTGGGTTTGCAGCAGGTGGTCCTACAGTAGGTGGTTTGACAGCAAGTTGGGCGGCAGCAGCAAGGCTGGCAGCAGCTGGACCCCCAGCCACTGGACCCACAGCAGCTGGGCTGGCAGCAGCTGGACACACAGCATGTGGGATTGCAGCAGGTGGTCCTGCAGCAGGTGGTTTGACAGCACGTTGGGCGGCAGCAGCAAGGCTGGCAGCAGCTGGACCCGCTGCCACTGGACCCACAGCAGCTGGGCTGGCAGCAGCTGGACACACAGCATGTGGGCTTGCAGCACGTGGTCCTGAAGCAGGTGGTCCTGCAACACGTAGGCTGGCAGCAAGAGGTGCAACACGAGTTGGTCATGGTGTCACGAATTGGGGGGTTGGCTTCATTTCAGAGGTAAGATTCTCAGATTCTGACTGATGTCTCCTTCTGTTTGGGGGCTTTTATGCACTGAACTCCCCAATGTGGACCAAAGGGCAGGACTTTCCTTTTTTGTTGTTTATGCTTTTGTTTTTGTTTTTGTTTTTTTATAGTCACTGAAGAATTTTCAAGGAAGAAGTTGTTCCCCTAGTGTTTTGAAGGTTCTGTAATTTAGTGTTTGATCATTTCCTTAATTGAGAATACTATTTAGGAACCTTTTCTAGAAATGAGAAAATCAAGAATCATCACCAGCTACATTCTGTTATTTGGCATCATCTAATCATGTGATAGTTTTGGCTGTCTTGGCAAAGGTCAGAACAATTGTTCCTTGTCTGCTATTCCTTTGACCATAGTGAGATTAGGAAGTGCCTTTATTTCTCCTCTGATCTTTATTATTCCCTTCCTTATTGTACCTTATTGTAACTTTGGGCTTTGTTCATTTTTCAAGTTCCTTGAGATGAAAAATTGGTTGTTTACTTGAGATTTTTCTTGTTTCATGATGTAGACATTTATCACTTTTAACTTCCCTCTAAGAACTGCTTTTGCTGCATCACGTAATTTTTGGTATGTTGTATTTCCATTTCCATTTGTCTCAATGTATTTTTTTATTTCACTTTTGAATCGTTCTTTGACCCATTGGTTGTTCATTGCACTGTTGTTTAATTTTCATATATTTGTGAATTTTGCAGGTTTTTTCTAATTGACTTATGGATTCATACTATTGCTGCCACAAAAGACGCCTGATATATTTTAATCTTATTAAATTTATTAAGACTTATTTTGTGGCCTAACATATGATCTATTCTGGAAGTTTACCATGTGCATATGAGAAGAATATGTATTCTGTTGTTTTTGAATGGAATGTTCTGTATATGTCTCTTAATTCCCTCTATTGTAATATATTGTTTAAGACCCATGCATGTTTTGATTTTCTGTCTGGATGATCTATACATTGGAGACAATAGAGTATTAAAAGATCTCTATTATTATTGTATTGTTATATGTTGTTCTCCTTAGGTCTATTACTGTTCACTTTATATATTTAGGCGCTCCTATAATATAAACATTCTCACAGAGAAATAACATGAACAATCCACCTCATGGTATTATTTCAATAAAAATGTATAGATAAATAAATAAAGTCAAAAGACTTGTACAATAGAATTCATACAAAATTTTGATATTTGTAATAATTTCAAAAGTCCCAAACAGCAACAACCCACTTATATATTAATGGTAGATAGACAAATATATCATTTGTATACATTGGGAAACTATAAAGAAAAGGGATGAATGAAGTGCCTGCGTAAGTCTCACATTCATGATATAAAGTGAAAGTAGCCAATTCTAAAAGCATCTGAAATGAACTATTAACATACACAATGTGTGAGTCACTAAAATACATACATACCTTTGGGAATAATAAGGATTATAATTTGAAGGGGATTAAATTAAGTTCTTTTTGTTAACCTGGTAATAGCGACATGGGGGTTCACTCGGTGATATTCTATCAGATTTGAAATTATTGATTTTAATGTATTATAATTTATAAAAAGGAGCACTATCACCAAGACTACCCCTTCAATTAAAAATAGGAGAAAACAGGAGTAACCTAGGGGGCAAGATGGCGGAAGAGCAGGGTCCCCAAATCACCTGTCCCCACCGAAATACCTAGATAACCTTCAAACCATCCTGAAAATCTACGAATTCGGCCTGAGATCTAAAGAGAGACCAGCTGGAATGCTACAGTGAGAAGAGTCCGCGCTTCTATCAAGGTAGGAAGACGGGGAAAAAGAAATAAAGGAACAAAAGGCCTCCGAGGGGGAGGGGCCCCGCGAGGAGCCGGGCTGAGGCCGGGGCGAGTGTCCCCAGGACAGGAGAGCCCCGTCCCGGAGAAGCAGGAGCTGCACCAACCTTCCCGGGCGGAAAGGGGCTCGCAGGGAGTTGGAGCAGGACCCAGGAGGGCGGGGATGCCCTCGGGCTCCCGGGGACACTAACAGGCACCTGCGCCCCGGGAGAGTGCACCGAGCTCCCTAAGGGCTGCAGCGCGCACGGAGGGACCGACCGACCAGAGCAGCTCGGAGGGGCTCCGGAGCGGCTCCGGGGAGGGAGCTGCAGGGCGGGAGCGCGAATCCAACAGCGCAGGCCCCGGAGCACAGGACGCCGGGACACAGCCCAGGATCCGGCCTCCCCCTGGGACAGGCAGAGGCCGGGAGGGCCCAGGACAGCGAGGACGCTCCTGCCCCGAGCTGAGCAGATCAGCGGCCCCGCCCCGGAGCCTCCAGGCCGTGCAGACGGAGAACCGAGAGCCCCGAGCCCCGTAGTTCCTGCAGAGGCTGAATCCAGGCTTCCAGAGTTGCCATAGCAACTGCTGCTGTTCCTCCTGGGGCCCCACGGGGTAAACAACCCCCGCTGAGCCCTGCAGCAGGCAGGGGCAGAGCAGCTCCCCCAAGTGCTAACACCTGAAAATCAGCACAGCAGGCCCCTCCCCCAGAAGACCAGCTGGACGGACCAGTGATACTCCCCCGTGTTCCAATACAACTTGTTTTTGGCCACTCTGCACTGAGCAAAATGACTAGAAGGAAAACCTCACCTCAAAAGAAAGAATCAGAAACAGCCCTCGCTCCCACAGAGTTACAAAATCTGGATTACACTTCAATGTCAGAAAGCCAATTCAGAAGCACTATTCTACAGCTACTGGTGGCTCTAGAAAAAAGCATTAAGGACTCACGAGACTTCATGACCGCAGAATTTAGATCCAATCAGGCAGAAATTAAAAATCAATTGAATGAGATGCAATCCAAACTAGAAGTCCTAACGACGAGGGTTAACGAGGTGGAAGAACGAGTGAGTGACATAGAAGACAAGTTAATGGCAAAGAGGGAAACTGAGGAAAAAAGAGACAATCAATTAAGGGACCATGAAGACAGATTAAGGCAAATAAATGACAATCTGAGGAAGAAAAACCTACGTTTAATTGGAGTTCCCGAGGGCGCCGAAAGGGACAGAGGGCCAGAATATGTATTTGAACAAATCCTAGCTGAAAACTTTCCCAATCTGGGAAGGGAAACAGGCATTCAGATCCAGGAAATAGAGAGATCCCCCCCTAAAATCAATAAAAACCGTTCAACACCTCGACATCTAATAGTGAAGCTTGCAAATTCCAAAGATAAAGAGAAGATCCTTAAAGCAACAAGAGACAAGAAGTCCCTGACTTTCATGGGGAGGAATATTAGGGTAACAGCAGACCTCTCCACAGAGACCTGGCAGGCCAGAAAGGGCTGGCAGGATATATTCAGGGTCCTAAATGAGAAGAACATGCAACCAAGAATACTTTATCCAGCAAGGCTCTCATTCAAAATGGAAGGAGAGATAAAGAGCTTCCAAGACAGGCAGGAACTGAAAGAATATGTGACCTCCAAACCAGCTCTGCAAGAAATTTTAAGGGGGCTCTTAAAACTCCCCTTTAAGAAGAAGTTCAAGTAACTCTGAACGTGAATGGGCTTAATGACCCCATCAAAAGGCGCAGAGTTTCAGACTGGATAAAAAAACAGGACACATCTATTTGCTGTCTACAAGAGACTCATTTTAGACAGAAGGACACCTACAACCTGAAAATAAAAGGTTGGAGAACCATTTACCATTCAAATGGTTCTCAAAATATACCCTAAAAACTACAGAACACTTCTGAAAGAAATTGAGGAAGACACAAAGAGATGGAAAAATATTCCATGCTCATGGATTGGCAGAATTAATATTGTGAAAATGTCAATGTTACCCAGGGCAATTTACACGTATAATGCAATCCCTATCAAAATACCATGGACTTTCTTCAGAGACTTAGAACAAATTATTTTAAGATTGTGTGGAATCAGAAAAGACCCCAAACAGCCAGGGGAATTTTAAAAAAAGAAAACCACATCTGGGGGCATCACAATGCCAGATTTCAGGTTGTACTACAAAGCTGTGTTCATCAAGACAGTGTGGTACTGGCACAAAAACAGACATATAGATCAATGGAACAGAACAGAGAACCCAGAAGTGGACCCTGAACTTTATGCTCAACTAATATACGATAAAGGAGGAAAGACGATCCACTGGAAGAAAGACAGTCTCTTCAATAAATGGTGCTGGGAAAATTGGACATCCACATGCAGAAGAATGAAACTGGACCACTCTCTTGCACCATACACAAAGATAAACTCAAAATAGATGAAAGATCTAAATGTGAGACAAGATTCCATCAAAATCCCAGAGAAGAACTCAGGCAACACCCTTTTTGAACTTGGCCATAGTAACCGGAGAAGGAGAAACAGTGTATGTTCTCATTCATTTTGGGAATATGAATAATAGCGAAAGGGAATGTAAGGGAAGGGAGAAGAAATGTGTGAGAAATATCAGAAAGGGAGACAGAACATAAAGACTTCTAACTCTGGGAAATGAACTAGGGGTGGTGGAGGGGGAGGAGGGTGGGGGGTGGGGGTGAATGGGTGACGGGCACTGAGGGGTACACTTGACGGGATGAGCACTGGGTGTTATTCTGTATGTTGGTAAATTGAACACCAATAAAAATTAATTTATAAATAAAAAAAATAAAAAATAAAAATAAAAATAGGAGAAAACAAAACAGTGCATACGTGAAGTAAACAAATATGTTAAAAATGAGTTAGGGTTGAGTCATGAGGTCATTGTGCTTTGCCCAAATTACCCCAGCATATCAGTGAAAGATCCATATGCTGAGAAAGCCCACAATTCTGACTAAATCAAGACCACTGGTCACACAGGTTGATAATTGCTTTTCCCAGTGTACTGTTGCAGCTTTTGCCCGCCTGCTTCGGTTCTGCCTAGCCATTTGGAAGATAGGATGCTAGACATCGTTGGGCCGAGGTCCTCGATGGAATTGGGATATGCAGATGGGGTAGGGTGCTCCAAGAAGCATATGCCATCAGGGTGTCTCCCATCAGGCTTTGTGGGGAGACTGACTTGGGCTCAGGCATGGATTCCGGTGCTCCCTGTGAACAGATAAACCTCATGTCCCCACTCCCCCAGGGACATTTCCATCTACAGACAACCCAGAGACCAGAGCTGGGGAAGAACCACTGCTGACACTCCTCAGGCCAGTGGAAACTAGAGCACATGATCCCATGGTCCCTGAAGCAAGAACAAGGCTGCTGATGTGACCACCTTCCTTCCTTCTGAGAATGTTTCTATGAGTTATTCTCAATTAAGAAGCAAATAAGCAATTATTTCCTAAGGATTCATAACATTTAGGAACAAGTTCCTCTTTTACACTTCCCTCAGTGATTATTGAAAATTATTTAAACAACAACAAGGAACGTTGTGCCCATTGGTCCAAATGTCAGGAGGTCCAGTGTATAAAAGCCCCAGAATGGAAGGAATAGGGTACAGAATCTAAAAACCACAACGCAAAACAGAAGCTCACCTTCCACCACTGACAGCATGACTGGTTCATTCTGTTCCCCTTGCTGCCAGCCTACATGCTGCAGGACCACCTGCTGCAGGACCACCTGCTGCAAGCCCACATGCTGTGTGTCCAGCTGCTGCCAGCCCAGCTGCTGTGGGTCCAGTGGCTGTGGACAAGGCTGCAGTGGGTCCAGCTGCTGCGGGTCCAGCTGCTGCCAACCTTGCTGCTGCCGCCCAACTTGCTGTCAAACCACCTGCTGTAGGACCACCTGCTGCAAGCCCACATGCTGTGTGTCCAGCTGTTGCCAGCCTTGCTGCCGCTCTAGTTGCTGCTCCACACCATGCTCCCAGCCAGCTTGCTGCAACCCTGTGTACTGCAGAAGAACCTGCTACCAACCCACCTGCTGCTGCCTGCCTGGGTGCCTAGCCCAAGGCTGTGGATCCAACTGTTGTCAGCCTTGCTGCCAACCAACCTGCTGTCAGAATAATTGCTAAAGGACCACTCTCTTGTTGTGGTGTTCAGCTGCAGCCAAACATTTTGCTGTTGGTTGCTTCACAAAGAAATACAATGTGCAAAAAATGTTTGCCATCACCCATTTCCAATCACTGTAATGTTTAAGACTCATCAGGCTATTCCAAAGAATGTGAAGTACCTTGATGAAATACATGTCCCTTCTCACTGAGTCTGTTCTTTGTCTGTAAATCATGTGTCAGCTTCCTATATAGTGATATGGATTCATCATATCTGCAATACAACACAGTGCAGATCTCACTTCCATCCCACTAAGGTGTAGAGAAAAAAATTCATGCATCATAGATAAGTATCTGCCACTAATGAAAGTTTAGGATCAAGTTTTCTATTCCATTCCTCACAGTCCTTGTACCCTCTTTTCGTCCTTGCATGAACCTTTCAAAGGCCTCCCTCCATGCAGTGTGGGGGGTGGTCTCACCTATATCTCTTAATAAACCCTGTACCATTCTATATCCCATATGGTGTCCATGTCCTTGTTCAACATTCATGACAAAATGTATGCACAGGTCCCATACTATGTGCATTATCCATTTGGAGTCTCCTATAGTCCCCCACAAATTTGTATCTCCATTTGCAGGTGAGGAGATCCTATAATGTTATGTCCCAGAGCTGACAGGGACAGAATCGGATGCCAGGCTGCATCTTCTGCCCTGGCTGAAGGGCACTCACATTCGCATCTGCAGACCAGTTAGGAAACACCCTGGGCCTGAGCTCCAGCAAGCTTCTGGGTGGAGTGTCTTCGTTGACCATGGAAATTTATTCTCCTGTACATGTGAGAGACGTCTGGGACAAAGTTAGAGATATTTGTGCCCTAAACCTCAGTGACCAGGAGCCCTGTGTGAGGGCAGCAGGCCCTGCCCCGGAGAGTTCCTGTGCACACAGGGACCCTTTGATTTCCTCAGGCCCCATCCAGCCCCTCGTGCACTCTTCCGCATCAAAGATAGGTGAGCCTATGGTGTCCTCACAACCAAAGGCTGCAACTGAACACACTCATTGTGGGGTCATGGAAGACCTTTTCTGCTATGTCCTCCTGGTGCTCAAGACCTCTAGGCAGAGTCCAGAGCTGTCAGGCAACTTTCTGCCAAACACATTGTGCTCCTCAACTGGAACATAATTGGTGTTGTGATCAACATTTTCCCAAGAAAAGGAAGAAAGGATGACATCAGGGTCTGAGAGACCATTCAGTGGGCATGTATGATGACTTGGACTCATCTGGGACCTCTGAAAAATCAAGGGGGAACAACACAACCCCCAGCATTTGGTGCAGGAACTGTGAAGCATTGGAGGGAAAGAAAGCTGCCTGTTCTGGCAGTGGGCAGAAAAAATGGAGGGATGGAGATGAATGTGAGGAAGAAGAAAGAGAAAAAATGTGGGCATTCATAGGAGTTGCCAGAGACAGAAGCCTAGCACTTCTGGTCCTGAACTAAGTAATGATGCAGCTTTGGTGCTCAGGGATTTGAGATGCTTAATTCAGACTCTGAGAGGAAGAGGAAACCTAGGCCCTGTGTCAACTCCCAGGAGCAGTGGAGGGACCTCTGAAGAACCAGGAAGGCTCCTGCCCAGGGCACACGCCAACATTGAACTAGCTCTCCGGGAGGCTCTGGATAGACTGCCAAGACCAGTCATGCCTCCTTCAGAGCTGGGAGTTTGTGTGCCAAGGTGAGGAACAGACATGACTCAAGTTGCTTCCTACATGCTACATATGGACCAGTGCTCCATGTCCATTATCCTTCATTCTTTTCTTGGAGCAAGACTTTCATTTCATTGCAGCATAGTTAACCTTACAGTCCTTTCATGTGAATCCCATAGAGTGATTCAGCACTGCCATACATCTCCCAGGGCTCATCCTGACAGGGGTCCCTTCCACAGTTTGGCTATTGTGGACATTACTGCTATGAACATTGATTGGGGTGCGGGTGTCCCATTGTTTCACTACATTTATATCTTTGGGGTAAATACCTAGTACTGCAATTGCTGACTCATTGGATAGTTCTATTTTTAACTTCTTGAAGAACCTCCATACTGTTTTCCAGAGAGGCTGCACCAACCTGCCTTCTCACCAACAGTGCAAGAGGGCTTCCTTTTCTCCATATCCTTGCTAACATTTGTTGTTTCCTGTCTTATTAATTTTAGCCACTCTCACCAGTGTAAAGTGGTATCTCATTGTGGTTTTTATGTGTATTTCCCTGATGGCAAGTGTTGTGGAGTATTTTTTCATGTGCTTGTTGGCCATGTATGATCTTCTTTGGAGAAATATCTGTTCATGTCTTCTGCCTATTTCATGACTGGATTGATTGTCTCGTAAGTATTGGGTTTGACAAGTTCTTTATAAATCTTGGATACTAGCCCTTTATCTGTTGTATCATGTATCAAATATCTTCTCCCATTCTGTAGGTTGCCTTTTAGTTTTGTTGATGATTTCCTTTGCTGTCAGAAGCTTTTTATCTTGATGAAATCCCAATAGTTCATTTTTGCTTTTGTTTCCTTTCCTTCATTGATGTGTCTTGCAAGAAGTTGCTGTGGCCAAGTTCTAAAATGTTGTTGCCTGTATTCTTCTCTAGGATTTTGGTGGATTCTTGTCTCACGTTTATTTATTATTTATTTATTTATTCATGAGAGACACAGAGAGAGAGAGGTGGAGACATAGATAGAGGATAGGCAAGCTCCACACAGGGAGCTCAATGGGGGACTCAACCCCAGATCAGGGATCATGCCCTGAGCTGAAGGCAGATACTCAATAGCTGAGACACCGAGGTATCCCTCTTGTCTCACATTTAGATCTTTCAACCATATTGATCTTATCATTGTGTATGGTGTAAGAGAATGGCCCAGTTTCATTCTTCTTCATATGGCTGTCCAATTTTCCCAACACCGTTTATTGAAGAGACTGTCTTTTTTCCATTGGATATTCTTTCCTGCTTTGTTGAAGATGAGTTGACCGTAGAGTTGAAGGTCCATTTCTGGGTTCTCTATTCTGTTCCATTGATCTACATGTCCGTTCTTGTGTCAGTACCATGCTGTCTTGATTATCACAGCTTTGTAATACAGTTTGAAGTCAGGCATTGTGATGCCCCCAGCTTTGGTTTTATTTTTCAACATTCCTCTAGCTATTCAGACTCTTTTCTGGTTCCATACAAATCTTAGTATTGTTCGTTCTAACTCTGTGAAGAAAGTTCATGGTGTTTTGATAAGGATTGCATTGAATGTGTAAATTGCTCTAGGTAGCATAGACATTTTCACAATATTTATTTCCTTAATCCATGAATATGGAATGTTTTTCCATCTCTTTATGTCTTCTTCAATCTCTTTCATAAGTGTTCTGTAGTTTCTAGAGTGCAGATCCTTTACCTCTTTGGTTAGGTTTATTCCTAGGTATCTTACGGTTTGGAGTGCAATTGTAAATGGGGTTGATTCCTTAATTTCTCTTTCTTCAGTCTCATTGTTAATGTATAGAAATGCAACTGATTTATGTGCATTGATTTTGTATCCTACCACATTGGTGAATTGCAATGAGTTCTAGCAATTTTGGGATGGAGTCTTTTGGGTTTTCTTTATACAGTATCGTGTCATCTGCAAAGAGGGAGAGTTTGACTTCTTCCTTGCCAATTTGAATGCCTTTTATTTCTTTTTGTTGTCTGATTTATGAGGCTAGGGTTTCTAGTATTATGTTGAATAACAGAGGTGAGAATGGGCATCCCTGTACGTTCCTAATCTTAAAGCTCTCAGTTTTTCCCCATTGAGAATGACATTCACTGTGTGCTTTACATAGATGGCTTTTATGATATTGAGATATGCTCCCTCTATCGTTACACCTTGTTTTTTGTTGTTGTTGTTTATTTTTTGTATATTTTTTTATTAGAGTTCAATTTGCCAACACGAACACCTAGTGTTCATCCCGTCAAGTGCCGCCCTCAGTGCCCGTCACCTAGTCACCCCATCCCCCCCCCACCTCCCCTTCCACTACCCCTTGTTTGTTTCCCAGAGTTAGGAGTCTCTCACATGTTCTGTCACCTTCACTGATATTTCCCACTCGTTTTCTCTCATTTTCCCTTTAATCCCTTTCACTATTTTTATACTCTCTGAATGAATGAAACCATATGTTTGTCCTTCTCTGATTGACTTACTTCATTCAGCATAATACCCTCCAGTTCCATCCACGTTGAAGCAAATGGTGGATATTTGTCTTTTCTAATTACTCAGTAGTAGTCCATTGTATATATAGACCATATCTTCTACACTTTGAAGAGTTTAATCAGGAATGGATGCTGTATTTTGCCAAATGCTTTCTCTGTACCTATTGAGAGGATCATATTGTTCTTGTCTTTTCTTTTATTGATATGATCTATCACATTGATTATTTTACAAATGTTGAACCACCTTTGCATCCCAGGGATAAATCCCACTTGGTCCTGGTGAATAATCCTCTTAATGTACTGTTGAATCCTATTGGCTAGTATCTTGTTGAAAATTTTTGCATCCATGTTCATCAGGGATCTTGGTCTGTAATTCTCCATTTTGGTGGTGTCCTTGTCTGGTTTGGGGATCAAGGTAATGCTGGCCCCATAGAACAAGTTTGGAAGTATTCCTTCCATTTCTATCCTTTGAAACAGCTTCAGTAGAATAGGTATTATTTCTTCTTTAAATATTTGATAGAATTCCCCTGAGAAGCCATCTGGCATGAACTTCTGTTTCTTGGGAGGGTTTTGATGACTGCTTCAATTTACTCACTGGTTACTGGTCTGTTTGGGTTTTCTATTTCTTCTTGTTTCAGTTTTGGTAATTTCTAGGTTTCAAGAAATGCATCCATTTCTTTCAGATAGCCAAATCTGTTGGCATATATTTCTCCAAACAGCACTGGAAAGTTCCAGGGGAAGTCGAGGGATTTACAGTACATAGAGTCAGAGGATACTCCCCCTTGTTTTTTGTTTTCTGTTTGTTCCTCCCCCTTTTTTCTTTTTTTTCTTTTGCTCCTAAAACATTTTTTAAATTGTTTGTATTTCCTTGATATTGGTTGTGATCTCTCCTCTTTCATTCATGATTTTATTGAGTCTTTTCTCTTTTATTTTTAATAAATCTGAGTAGGGAGTTATCTATCTTATTAATTCTTTCAAAAAACCAGCTTCTGGTTTTGTTGATCTCTTCTGAAGTTCTTCTGGTCTCTGTTTCATTGAGTTCTGCTCTAATCTTTATTATTTCTTTTCTACTGCTCAGTTTAGGCTATATTTGCTGTTTCTCCTCCAGTTCCTTTAGGTGTCAGGTTGTGTATTTGAGATTTTTCCAATTTTTTGAGGGAGGCTTGTATTGAGATGTATCTCCCTCTTAGGACCACCTTTGCCTATCCCAAAGATTTTAGACAGTTCTGCTTTCATTTTTGTCAGTTTCTGTGAATCTTTTTAATTCTTCTCTAATTTCCTGGTTGACCCATTCATTCTTTAGTAGGATGTTCACTAACCTCCA